AGTTGACTGCGGTTCGCGTCCCGGACCCAGTGGCTTAGAACTCACGCCGGGCGCATGTGTGTGCATGCCCAAGATCCCGAGAGGAGAATGGAGGAGAAGGGATTGCGGCGTGACCATCCCCCCTGGGGGGTAATATCTCACTTTCTGTCTCTATGTCTCTGTCTAGCTGGCGAGCGCACTCGCCCTATAGCAAAAACCTCTCAAAAAAAAGAAAAAAAGGAATGATCAGGATTGATTTCCAGGTATTTCTTTGCAGCCAATAATGGGTTACAACCCATTATTGAGTTGTCTGTTAAGGCTTAAGCTTTCATGATTCTCTCCATATTTGTTGTCCAGCCATATGTGCTTGTGACAATGCACCATAGGGATGTTACCAACCAATTTGAGACAACTGCCTTCTCCACTTTTTTCTCCAAGATATCTTTCAAGATTTTGCAAAGCTTTTCAAACTTTGTTTTTTTCTCTTCTTGTTTCTTTATTATTGTTATTATCATTATTCTTCGATTTGTGACCAGATAGAGATAGAAAGGGAGAGCGAGAAAGCAAGCCACCAGGTCGAGGACTTGTACCATGATCGGCCATGTAGGAATCCAGTGCCTCAACCACCATGCCACCTAGAGGCCCCTCTTCCTGCTTCTTTTTCTCTTCTTTATCTTCTGGAAGTTGTAAACCCTCTTTGGTGACTGACTCTAAAGTCTTCCCTTCAAATTCCTTCAGCTGTTGGGCACAGTACTCATCCATAGCTTGATCATATAGATCACTTCTTTTTTTTTTTTTTGGCAGGGTTTTGTCTATAGGACATACCACCTCACCAGAAAGACAGAGACAGAGAGACAGAAAGCGAGAAATCATCCCCCAGGGGGAATGGCCACACTGCAGTCCCTTCTCCTCCATTCTCCTCTTGGGATCTTGGGCAAGCATGCACATGCGCCCAGCATGAGTTTAAGCCACTGGATCCGGGACTTGAACCATGATCGACTGTATGGGAGTCCAGTGACTTAGCCATTACACCAACTGTTGGTCTCCATATAGATTACTTCTAAGCCTGCTTCCGAAGACATTCTACAAAGGCTGAGTTAGCCAGAGTTACCTGGTCCTTGGTTTCACCTGTGATATAATAGATATACTTCTGATTTTCCTTCATTCCGGTGCAATAATCCTTCAGGGATACCATCTCATCACCAGAAGCAGATGTGTTATCTCTTAATAGCTCTGAAAGCTTCTTAGAATTTTGAGAATCTTCTTTATATTTTTAGAAAACTGCTTATAAAACTTTTTGTAGTTCTCTATCTTGTGCCATTTCAGTGAAGAGTTCTAAGCATTTTTTCGACCAAATTCTTTCTGATAACCTTTGGAATTTTACTTTGTTGCAACATCTCACAGGAAATATTTAGAGGGAGATCCTGAGAGGCCACCACCCCTCTAATGAAATTCAGATATTCAAGGACCGGCTACTCAAAATTGCCCATGATGAATACTCTGCGTACATACAATTTAGTGGTTTTTTTTCTTCCTGTTTTCAAACAAGTCAAAAGGAGCACGTCTTGGAATGAAAAGAAGAGCTCTGAATTCCAACTGTCCGTCAACTGTAAAGTGTTTCACTGCCAATGATCTTCACAGTCATTGGTTAAGCTCTCGTAGAATTCTCCATACTCATTAGTAATATTGTAAAGATTTCTGGTCCAAATAGATTTTGTTTTGTTGAGTTCTTCTTGATCAATGTACTTTTCCTTAACCTTCTTCTTATCACCATCTTTGTTTTCTTCTTCATCAGAAGCAACATATTCTATTTCTAGTTTGTCATCAGATTCCTTTTCTTCTTTTTCTTTCTGTTCTTCTTTCTCTTCCTTTTCTTCAGCCTCATCAGTGACTTCTTTATCATGCCCCTTCTCCACAAAAGGAGTAATGGGATAGCTAATAAACTGAGAATGTTTTTTCACAATCTCCTTTATTCTTTTTTCCTCCAAGTACTGAATTTGGTCTTTCAGGTGCAGGGTAATCTTTGCTCTATGACTCATGGGTTCACCTCTGTTTGTCCTGTGAACGAGCCTCCTGCAGAGGACTCCCAGGCATACTGCTCATCATCATTATGTTTGGTGATCATAGTCACTTTTTCAGCAACCAGATATTTAGAATAGTAACCAGTGCTAAACTGGCCAATTTTAGAGATATTTGTACCAACCTGCAAAGCTTCTATGAAAACTTTGGTCCCTGACTTGGCGATAGTACCAAGGTTATTGATCAGTTTGACCTTCGTCCTTCCAATCCCAGTATCCACTATAGTGAGGGTTTAATCTTGTTTGTTTGGAATGAGATTAATGTACAAGTTTCTTCCCAGAATCTAGTTTATTGGGATCTGTCAAGCTTTCATATCTGATTTTGTCCAGCACATCAGAGGAATTTGAAATAAGCTTCCTCAGGAAGATCTTTTTGTTGAAGTACTAAGTGTTGATAATCAGTGACATCAACTAGGCAATTTCTGCCTAGAAGGCAAAGGTTTCAACCTCCTCCTCCTCCATGGGCTGGTCTTGGGTCTGGGTTTCCTCATGCATCTTGGTGAAGGACCATGCAGTATCTTTGTTACAACAGCATCCACACACTGAAGCAACTCCCTGCATGAGTTTTAAGCTGCCGAATCCAGGACTTGAACCGTGGTCAGCTTCATGGGAGTCTAGCAGTGTAACCTTTATGTCATTGGCTGGTCCCAGGATTATTTGAAATTTTAGACAAAATATTTGTTATTTGACATTAGTTTAATCTCTTTACATCATTTGTGTCCTTGTGCTCTCAAGCTGTGAATTTGAAGGTCATGAATTCTGGCATGCTCTTTAGAAAAGAAGTACAATCAATAACTTGAACTTGTAAATTTTTTAGTTTGTGGCTTCTGTGATAAAGTCATATACAGTAAGAAAGGAAATAGGTTTTCATAGATTAGATCATATTTTTATTTGCCTAGAACTAAAGTTTATTCTCACAAGATTTTAGAAATTCACTTTTTAAAGTGTTCTTGTGGTCAATGAAATATATTTAGTCTGTTGAGCAGAGATTGTTCTGTAGAAGAGGTCAAAAGGTTACCACAGTAGTAACCAAAAAGAATTATTTCTAAAGAACTAAAAGCTTTTTCGTTACCTACAAACCATGTATGTCCTGCACATTTTTGTACTTTAGTTTTTGCTCTAGGGCACATGGGCTTGCTAGAGAGGGGGAAAGTAAGAAATCACTCCCCCAAGGTGGGGTGGCCACACCACAGTCCCTTCTCCTACAGTCTCCTTTTAAGATTTTGGGCAAACACATGCTTGTGGTATGATTATCAAGCCTCCGGATCTAGGACTCAAACTGCATAGTTGACGAGGTGAAATCCAGTGCCTTCTGCTGGCTCTGTACCACATTTTCTTTTCTTTTCTTTTCTTTTTTGAGAGATTTTTTTCGCTATAGGGCGCGTGCGCTCGCCAGACAGACAGAGACACACAGACAGAAAGTGAGAAATCCCCCCCCCAGAGGGAATGGTCATGCCGCAATCCCTTCTCCTCCATTCTCCTCTCGGGATCTTGGGCACGCACGCACAAGCACCCGGCGTGAGTTTTAAGCCACCAGGTCAGGGACGCAAACTGCGGTCGACTGTGTGGGAGTCCAGCGACATAGCCATCACGCTAACTGCTGGTTCCCTGTACAACATTTTCTATGTTAGAAAATGTTTTAAATTTCTCTCTTGGCATTCTTCAGTGATAGTGCTTATGAAATAAGAGAATAATTCTTATCAAAAATCATCTTGCTGGGCCAGAGAATGGCACAGCAATAACACAACTGGACCCACATAAGAAAGTCTCTGATTCAAGTCCCAGCCTTCCTGTACATGCTGTAGTTCATGGTGACTAAGGCTGGGGTTTGAATCATGAGATGATGATTCTGTTAGAGGCCCTATCTCTCTTATCCCTCTCTCTTTCTCTCATTGAAGAAATAGACAGACTTTTTAAAAAATCGTTGTGAAATGGTGTTCTCTGTCAAATATAAAGACTATGTAACATTTCAATTTAAAAAGACATTGGTTGGGACCAGCAAGTGGAGTAATGGTTACATCACTGGACTCCTACATAGTCGACTGTGGTTCAAGTCCCAGACCTAGCACCTTAAAACTGATGCTGGACATGTGTGTGTGCATGCCCAAGATCCTAAGAGGAGAATGAAAGAGAAGGGAATGCGGCTTGGCCATCCACCCTAGGGGGTGATTTCTTATTTTCTTCTCTCTGGAGAGTGCTCACACCCTATAGCAAAAATTTCTCTTAAAAAAAAAAAAAGGGAGGGACCAGCAGTTAGCATAATGGCTATGTCGCTAAGCTCCCATGTAGTCGACCACGGTTCAAGTCCCGGACCCGCTGGCTTGGACTCACACCGGGCGCATGTGCGTGCGTGCCCAAGATCCCGAGAATGGAGGATAAGGGATTGCAACGTGGCCATCCCCCTGAGGGGTGATTTCTTGTTTTCTGTCTCTCTCTGTCTTTCTGGCCAGCGCACGTGTCCTATAGCAAAAACCTCTCCCAAAAAAAGGGAGTGGGGGAAGACACTGGTTTATGCTTAGTGGTTATATAACACCTATTTCTTTTTTAAACTTTGTAGCAGTAAACAATTTAAGGAGTTATCTAATAGCAATACCAACATTTAAATTTTTAGTATTCTTATCTTTTGAATTTTATTTATTACTGATTTTTTTCCTAGGAACATCATATTTTACCCAAATCTCATTAATCCTTCAGTGTATGTGTTCTTTTATTATTAGTATGCTTAATACCCAGATTTGGGTTGTCTCTTCCCTTTCCCATTCTCTAGCTGTTGTGTCTTCAAGTGGCACATGGCAGATATTCAGTAAATGTTCTTTAAATTATCTTTAATTTGGTCAAGTGTATTCTTTAAATCAAAAGCTGATTAGTGTGATCTTTTTTAATCTATAAGATGGCTCTCTGTATTATGTATGATTTAGTAAAGTGATCATTTCTGTTTTTCAGGGTCCTCATTCTTCATTTGAAACGATACAGCTTCAATGTGGCTCTCTCACTTAACAACAAGATTGGGCAACAAGTCATCATTCCCAGATACCTGACTCTGTCATCTCATTGCACTGAAAATACAAAGCCACCTTTCACCCTCAGTTGGAGTGCACATACGGCACTGTAAGTCCTTGAGAGAGAATGTCTTTACCTTTTTTACTGAAATAGAAAGGCTTTAGTATTCAGTCAGAAGAGTGACTGAACTGGGTAACATTACTCCCAAGTAAAATCAGACCAAGATGGGGATTTTAATTTTGTTTTATTTTGAAATTTTAGTGTTAAATTATTACCTGATAAAAGTAATGGGGGGAAAAAAGCCTTATGTATCTTCTAAGTTCATTAGCTGCCTTTCATAATGAGGTGGTTCTTAAGAGAATACTCTTAATTCTTTTAGATCACTGAAGATATACATTGGGAATATAAATCAGACTTAGGTGACCATAAGTCACCTGGGCACTAAAAATACTGATTCCTGTGTTCTCTCCCTGGAGGTTCTTCTGTTCTAGTAGATCTGAAATAGAGCTTGGGAATCAGTGTTTATACCAGGTGCCTCAACCCACTCTTCTGGCAATGCAAATTTGAGGAACAGCATACTAAATGTTACACTGGAGCACCCAAAATAGGTTGTGCCTTCATAAGTGTAATTATCACCAATAATTTTCAAGGGATAGAGAATTAACCTTTACTTTAGGGTTTTTTTCATCATGTTAGCTGGAAAACCTCAGGATCTTTCTGAAAGTTGCTCTTTTTCCCTGTACACTTGCATTACTTTAGAGGAATATGCTGTAGCTGAACACCAGCTTGGTAGAATCTAGTTCTAACATTCTAGAACTTTAGAAGTGGAAAGGATTTAGAGATTTTATCCAAATCTTTAATTTTGCAGAGGAGACCCAAGGAGATTAAGTGATTAAGTAATTTTCCTAATATACTTAGTAACTGATCTTGACTGAGTTGAAATAGTTCAGACAGTAAATGAACATTTGTCAACTTGAATTGATGCAGTTTTGTAAAATGTATTTCTCTTTTGATTTACAGTTAAAATATCTCTTACTTCATATAAGTTTGCACTAAAGTCCTTAAGGGTCTGCTAATAATGGCGTTTGCCCAGAAAGTATTGGTATTACTGTAGTTTTTCTCTTATTGCTGTTGTTTGGAATTAAATGTTTTTATTTGGTGCAACCTGCCCTCTGGTGGTAGAGCTATTACTCTTTCTGGCAGCAGCACTGTATCACACTTTCAGTTAGGGTGTTTATGATCACAGGCTTGAAAGAAACCAGTTTGACTATACAATTTAATAGCTGTAGGTCTTTGAACAAACTCCTTGATGTCTGTAGAAAAGCTATTGAGATGGCTGTGTATATTTAATGAATATTAAATTTCTTAGCACAGTACCTGTTATCTAATAAGTCCTGGATAAATTAGAGCTAGTATAATTTTAGTGCTTAAAGTTAAAAACTGAGACAGGGTAATTTTTACCCAAGTTGTTCTTTTCATATGTTTGTTTGTTTGTTTGTTTGTTTGTTTTTTGGAGAGGTTTTTGTTATAGGGTGCATGTACTCGCCGGAAAGACAGAGAGACAGAAAATAAGAAATCACCCCCTCCCGGGGAGGGGATAAGCACGCAGCAATCCCTTCTCCTTCATTCTCCTCTCAGGATCTTGGGCACACACGCACATGCACCTGGCGTGAGTTTAAGCCACTGGGTCCAGGACTCGAGCCGTGGTCGGCTACATCCCTTTTTTTTTTTTTTTTTGGAGAGGTTTTTGCTATAGGGCGCGTACGCTCACCAGACAGAGAGATAGAAAGTGAGAAATCACCCCCCAGGGGGGATGGCCATGCCACAATCCCTTCTCCTCCATTCTCCTCTCGGTATCTTGGGCACGCACGCACATGTGCCCGGCATGAGTTTTAAGCCACCGGGTCAGGGATGCGAACCGCGGGCAACTGTATGGGAGTCCAGCAACATAGCCATTACACTAACTGCTGGTCCCAGTACCTTTTTTATTTTAACCTTGACTTCTTTTCTAATGCTGTTCATTTGGTCAGGGAAAATCTAGAAATGGTATTTTATTTTTTCTTTTGACTCTATTGCTAGTTATTTTATAAATAGTATAATTGTCTGTTTTTCAAAAGGATATCTAAGGAATTATAGTATGGAATAATTCATTTTATAAGTTAAATACATAACTTTAATAATGCAATTGTATACATTATATATTTTCTAATTTCCTGGTAGTTCTAGACCATTGAAAGCATCTCAAATGGTGAATTCCTGCATTACCAGCCCTTCTACACCTTCAAAGTGAGTTATATTTCTTATGTACCCAAAATTTGTATTTTTAAGGGTCTAGCCTATACTAATCTCCAAAATTGTCCCCCTCCCTTTGCTTTCTTGTTTCTTTTTTGCATGGTAACTGCTCTGTGTTACCCATACATTGGAATTTTCCTGAATGTGGTTTAGAGTATAGCCTAGGTATAACAAATTCTTAACAGTGACACAAGTTCACCCTTTCAATATTCTGTTTTAAAATTTCTTAAAACGTATCACTTGTTAATATATAATATTTTCATCCTAAAACTCTAAAAAATGATGACATAGGATTTTAAAGATTGAATAAAATAACCTTTGTGTTTTAACCTAAAGCACACTTCCTCAAATATAGGCATAGGATTCCAAACATCTTTTCATCTGTTGCTAATTATTTTGAGACTTCTTGACTTTGACACTTAATAGGCGGTATCTGAAAAGGGACAGGAAAGCAAACATGCACTGGAATGTAGCTATTCTACAAATGCTCTGTGTTTTTGTTTAAGACAAAATTTGTCCGAGGAGGGAAGCAAATGCTTTTTTTAGTATATCTCCTATAAGATTTTACTAGAACCACAGTTCCTGATTAGATGATTCCAATTGACTTAGTTGTCATTTGACTTTAAAATTTATTTTTCTAAAAATTTGATGTTCCAGAGTACTTCTAGAAAAGAGACACTTTTGTTGTTTAAGGGTTTTTGGGGGGCTTATATAACCATAAAATGACATTTGGGAACTGCTATTTTCTTTTCCTCCTGTTAATTATTTTTCAGTGCAATTAAAACCAGATGACTAACATGACTAGAAATCTGAAATGGTACCGATATGAATACTCTTGCCCGTTCTCAAGATACAAATGAGCAATACCACTTGGCTGCTTAGAAAGTGAGCAAGTGATGCATTTACAGGATGAATATTTTTCATTGCTACAGGCAAGCTGCCTTCTGTGAATATAGTAATTATTAATGGAATGCACTCTTTATGTACCAAATCACTATAGTTGCAAGAAAGAGATGGTTTCATTGGGCATCATCGTACCTTGGCATGGTCATCTGTTCTCCAGGGTCTACTGGTATAAGAATTTTAAAATTGGTCCATCAAGGATGGTTAGGCCCTAGAAGACCTGTCATGCCGATCAAACTTAAAAGAGGCTGAGTTATGAACCATAATATCATTGGTTTTTCTACAGTATCCTTTGTTACATTGACCCTGGTGCAATAGTAGCCAGGTGTCACCTTCCTTCAGCAAAGTATTTACCTGGATAAGCAAATTTAAATGTTCAGGTTTACTGGTGAGCATCAAATCAGAAATGAGGAATTAAGATGGCTAATTGGCTGTTTCTAAGTTATACTAAAAACCCTTCTGAACATATAATAGAGGCTATTCAAGTGTTCTGGCTGGAGCGCAGTGATATCCTGGCTGCTCTCAGCCACAGACTGTGTTTGGGCTTATCACTGACCACTTGCCTCTTTTCTTTGATCTACATTGCTGTGCAATCCTCTTGATTTCCATCGTGGCCTCTTATTTCTTGGTGCCATCATTCTATATGTTTATTTAAAGTTTTTACATTTAGATTAATTGCATTTTTCCAATTTCCATTTTATATTTCTTTTTAATATAGCATATGAATTTATGTTAACCTTCATCAAAGAAAGTTCTTGCTCTTTGACCTTTACCATTTATTCCTTTAGCTTATTTTCACCTCACCTGGAAGACAACACAGTAACACATACTTATCTGGTATCATTGAAAAATAATATTTGAAATTATTCTTTAAAAAAAAAAGAAAAAGAAAAAAATGATATTTGGTATTCACACAAATAAATTTTATATAACTGAAGCTTTTCTAAGCATTTGTCTTTAAAGAAATTTTAGTGATTTTGGATGAAAATTTTTCTAAAATATGTTAAACTATACTTTATATTCTCAAATAAATATACACTAAAAATATTTCAAATATATCTTAATAACTTAGAATCAGTATTATGAGTATCAGTTATTGTACTCTGTTTTAATATATTGCCCTACAAAACTTTTAATTATTACAAGAGAGTTTACCTTTACATTAAATGATTTTATACTCCTTTTTTGGTCTTTTTTTGTGGTTATTTTCTCTCTCGTTTCCTAGCTCTCATTTCTTGATGAACTTGCTACTCTACTTTATACACCATTACAGGGGGGAAGGGTCCCTGTAAATGCCTAGGCTTTGAAACTGCCTTCCTCAGAGGTCTTTACTCTGGAATCCCTGTGTTCTGGAAGGTAGAGGTTACAAGAAGTCTGACCTACAGATAAGTGTATAAGTGGAATGTTACTGTTATTTTTAAAGTGCATGGATCATAATTTTAAAGATAAAAATTAGTTTTCATGCACTTTGTTGTCAAAAACATATATTCATTGCTATGCCTGCATGAATTCAGTAGAATATTTACTTTATAAAGATAATAGCAAACTTCATTGAGTTGATCATTTAAAGAAAAAAGGCACGAAGTGATTGGTTTACTGATAGTATATAATAGCATAAGAGTTGTCCAGTTTTCAAAACATGGATCTTTTGGAGTGGGACAAAGGTAATGCTTACATGTACCTCTTTTAATATATCTTTTTCTGTTAAATAATTTTTTATAGTGGAAAAGCCTTTTGTTTTGCTTTGGTGTTTATACATCAAAAGAATAATGAAAACAAATATTTATTAAACTTACATATTTGTGGGGTTTTTTTTCCTTAAATTATAGGAAATTTACCTTCAAATCGAAGAACTCGTTGGCTTTATGCCTTGATTCTGACAGCGAGGATGAGCTAAAACGCTCTGTGGCCCTCAGCCAGAGACTTTGTGAAGTATCAGGCAATGAACTGCAGCAAGAAGACCTGGAAAAAGTAAATAATTTTTCATCTAAACATCTAACAAAGATCTGTGAAATTCTTACTATCTAAACAAATACCTTTGTAACCAACATCAGCCAGCTCAACTACATGAGATTGATTAAATTTAGTGAATCTGTTCAAACACTAGTTTTGTTTTATTTTAGGTTTTTGCCATAGGCATGTGTGCTCACTGGAGAGAGACATAAAGAGAAAAAGTGAGAAATCTGCCCTAAGGGGGTTACACATGGCAGTCCCTTCTTTTTCATTTGCCTCTTGGGATTTTGGGCACATGCACACATGCGACCATGATTTTCAAGCCACTACATCCAGGACTTGAAGCCAGGTTGGCCATGTAGGAATCCAGGGTTGTTTGTTTTTTTACAATTGTTTAATTTGCTGCAGGGCACATGCGCAAACCAGAGAGAGAGAGAGAGGAAAAACAAGAAAGTGAATCAAGGACTCAAACTGTGGTCGACCATGTAGGTGTTCAGCACCTTACCCACCATGCCACCTCCTTACCCCCTCAAACTCTAGCTTTAATTAGAAAGAGCGTT